CCCCCCTATCCTTAAAAAAAACAATTTAGTTTTTAATTTTAATAATTTTAAATGATAATACAAAAAGTTTAAGTTACATACGTACATAGTTACTGACATAGTGGATACATAAGAGAGATTTTATGGTTTTGAGTTTATTAAAATTTTAGAGTTTAGACTTTAGTGTGAGGTTTGTTGCTGTTTTGATAGAATTATTTTCTTTAAATCTGGAACTGTATTGGACAGGACAACACGCATATTATCTTTGATATCCAATCGGTTTCGTGATTTTATTTTATATGTGACCATTGAAGAAAATCCAGACTCACAGAGATATGTAGTGGTGAATCAAAAATTGCACAGCTCGAGAATAAGGCTGCGTCAATGAACACCAAAATTCAATTACATTTTTGGTTTGAAAATCTTGATGCACCATTTCTCTCGATCTTATCAATTAATTCATCTTTTACCAGGTCTGAATCATCAATTGAATTTAAATCCACAACAAAAGGATTACATAACCATATGTCTGCTTTTGAATATGTAGAATTCAAATAATCGTTAAATGAATTTTCAAGTTTATCAAGATGTTCATAAATTTGTGTTTTTATGGAGCTGGACAAAAGAGTATTGTTTTTTGAAAGTTCGTGTTCAATTGTTGGAAAGTTTGCTAAATTATCAGACTGCAATCTTTTTTTTCATAGAGGAATTTTATTTACAAATGAACTTATTTTTTCGTCTGCGTTCATAATTGTAACTTATGGTCCTTGAATCGATGTAATAACTTCATTCAAATGACTAAAAATATATGACAAATAAGCCAATCCATGAATGAATTCAATATTATCGAAATGTTTGGAGAGTGAGCTTTGCCTTTCTATTAAAAAGTAAGAAATTTCTTCGCGAAGTTCATACAAACGTTTCATAACTTGTCCTCTGGAAAGCCAACGTATTTCTGTGTAGTAAAGAAGAACTTCATGTTCAGCTCCCATTTCTTGACAAAAACCCTTGAAAATTCGGTGATGTAAAGCTCTAGATTGCAATGTGGGCTTTTAATTTTGGCCTGTAACAACAACATGGTTTGCCACTTGCATAACGACTAGCTATAGTAGCAAAGGTTGCCACCACCTAGGGGAGGTGTCACACCTATCAGATATGATTACCGGACCATAGGTGGAATTTAATTTTAAGTTAATTAAAAGTATAATTTAAGTTAATATGTCGTTATATGTATAAATTACTATAAT